AAATATGGAGGGGAAGAAGAAGGGACATAAGGAAGTGGAGGAGAATGCGAATGTGATGTGGAAGAGAATGCGTGCGCAAGAAAGTTTTGATTAGTTTGTAAATAAGGACTGTATTTTTCTACGTTCGGCTATAATAGGGTTACTGTCCGTGAAAATGGAAATTACGTGGATTTATCGTCTCGTTTGTTCGAGCGTGAAAAGTGAAAAAAAGAAGCAGATAAAAGAAATAAACATGAAAATTATGGACTTTCGAATTCTATTTGTTATCGGATCGGTACTGTTTTTCTGACTGCTAGTCGAATAGTCTGCCGGTTCGGGGTGGGTTGATCGGTCACAGCGAGTTATTTTAGGATGTATTTGCGTTTAAGAAGGGACAGCGACGATAATGAGATAACAAAGCTGTGTATATATACACAGGTACATATTACATACACATTATTCATATCCCGAGTCATGGTTGTGGGCGTGCAATGATTTATGAATCATCGTACAGGATTCTTTATCAGGGCACTGATACGGTTGGCATTTTTGCGACGATGACTTTTTAACTGCTGATTGAAAAAGTGCAAATTTTAGATCCAGATACGTCGCAGAGACCAGTTGAAAGTCACTGATGACTGAATCGCGCGGGTTGACTCGTCGTTCGGTCTTGTAAAGTCTATACGAGAGAGCAAATTTCCTATTAAAAAAAAATAAAAAAAAAAAAATTAATATAACGAGAAACATAAAATTCACAGTACTCGAACGTGGCTACGAGAATTGAAAGCAGTAGCCCTTCCACGTAGGCACTGTATTGTATGTACATACGTTATTAAAAATCCTTTATTTGAATTACACTTTGTAACGAGTAAGGGAAAAAAGTTAATATAGTGTACGTCTACACATTGCATACTATGCGAGACACTTTATATAGGGATTAGGCGTTATTCGGCTATGTTGTGACCAATCGGAGAGGCGAGGTGAATCTTTGAACTTTTGAGAGAGAGGGAGAGAGTGCGTGCGTGCTGCGAAAGAGAGAAATGGGGAGAGTGACGAAGGGAGACAGAGAGAGAGAGAGAGAGATAGAGAGAGAGAGAGAGAGAACAAAATTGATTGCAATGAAAAAAAAAAATGCGATTTCTACTATACCTTGAAGCAAGCAACAAATTGGATGTAAGAAAAAAAAAAATTAAACTTGGACAAAGATGATTAAAATGTTGTATATGAACACTAAAAGATGACACAACACTTACAAACGTAATACAAAACATTGAGACACATCAGAACGTTACGTTCACGTTGTACCGATTTATTGATTCGATCTGATACAATGAAAGGAAAACCTGCAAGTTGTAATACAAAAGTGTAAAATGGTGCGAAAGGACGGAGGTTACTCGATCGCCTGCAAGAAAGTAAAGTAATGGATGACAAGTTGAAAAAAAATAGTAGCATGTCCACATATGATGTCTCTCTCTCTATTACATGTATAATAATAATAATAATAATAATAATAATAATAATATTAATAATATAAGCGCTACAAATGATATATCAAAATGTATGTACGCGTGTAATGTGTGCATGTACGTGTATCCGTGCTATTCGACACGAGTGAAAATTTTTCATTAAGGTGAGGATATGGAAAATTGATAAGCGACGATGACTTTTCCCGATGTCTCAAATACGGACTGATGATTTTATTGCATGACGTATACAGTGTTGTCCCTTATTTTTTTAAAATTATAATTTCTTCTCCATCTCGGGGCCTTTTTTATTCTTCGTTTAACGGACAAAATTGTACACGTTACAGACGCAGATATAGCCGTACAGGATTATTTAGATGTTTTTTTTTTTTCTATACTTTCATCAGTTCTTTTCATTTCCACGAGGAATACCGGGAATATTTTTTTTAATAATGACGATGTCCAACATATCAGGGGAGTCTTAACTAAAAAAATATCGTCGCCGTATTTACGGGCGACTGACACCTTCTTTTCTTTTGTACGCGGTGACGTTCTACCAGACGACAGTATTGACGTTATTTTTTGTTTGTTGAGAAATTCTCATTTCATACTTCATGAACCTCGCGATTATCATTCGCACATTTATATAGGATTTCTTCCTCTCGCTTAACCCTTTCGAGTATACGAATTAGCGAGTTATTCAATTTAATTGTCACGTAGCCATTAGAATTACGAAAGACGGATAAATCGAATTTTCTTATATCTCTGTCGTGCATCAATTTTATACTCGCGCTCTTATACGCAACTTTTTAATGTCACGTACAACGCAAGACACACGCACAACACATATTTTAACACGTAATTACACATTTGTTACTTTATATTTTCTCTCTCTGCCTCCAAGCGTTTACCGGTCATTTTTATTTGTTGTTGTTGTTGTTGTTATCGCAGCGTATCCCCCTCTGTTTATTTCTGTGCGATTTCGAGAAACCTGTACGATATCTACCCGGGCATCCTTCGATTAGGGTATTCCGCCATTCCCCGCGGAGACTTCGCGGGGACACTTCGCCACAATAATAATATACTAATTTAAGACAATCGAGCGTACGCGAGCGCGTTCACGTTATCTCCTCTGGAATCGCGCGTCGGCACCAAGCGGATGGAAAACTTTGAGAATGATTAAGAAGAGAGCCAATTGGGGAAACTCGCAAAGTCACCAAATCGATCAGACTGACAGTCGTTGGCTGCTCGATGGGCGACAGAGTGTCTTTAGGCTACTAGACATTTCTTTTGGGTTAATTGACACAAGACTCGCCGATGTCGCGTCGGACGCTACACGGACGCCTCTCGCGGACGCTCGCCAAAACGATCTCAGGCGGAATACGCGTAGCTTATGATATTCAAGGTATGAATATATATAAAAAAAGAATTTAAAAACAAAAACTATGTAAACATAAAATGTATAAGGGGGAAAAAAATGTTACAGCCAATCTGATTTATCGCAATGTTATAGATTTTTGAATCAAAAGTAATTACGTGACAGGCGCGACTGGAAATTAGGACGAGAGAAGGATTGCCCGGTATTATTGGTTTCCTCAACGTTCATCGATCCGATCACCGAGTGATCTCTGATGAACCTGTTTCGCCCCCAGAAAGATAATTTAGAGGCAGAGACAGATCGCTTGGACGAATTTTCTCATTGGGCAATCGAATAGTCGATTTTATAGCACGTAAGACCGGAAATAAGAATCGAGGCTGAAGTCGGAAGGATTAATTTGCGATAAAGAAAAATAATTGAATTTTTTTTTTACCTTATAAATAATAGCATACACAAATTTTTACGTAAACTCTGTTCTCTTCGTTCTCCCCGATCTATGATCTCTACGATCTCCCCAGGAATGTCACACGTTAATCTGTTCTCGTTTAACTATGAAGACGCTGGATATTTCTTCACTGATAATAAATGCCAGAGCAAAATTAATCAACGAAAATGAGGAACGTATTGTGCATTCGGATTTACGAGATTGTAGGAA